ATATGGCTAATAGTTCCTCGTTATTTCTTAAAAGTATTTGTAGTTGAATCTATTTTTTATAATCATATATTCATATCTATTAATGTGTGGAACTGTAAGAAAAATGATGTTTAAGTTTTGAAAAAAAGAACATATTTATAAAATGTACAATAATTTTGAAAAGAATTATTTTACCATCAATAGTTTCTTAATCACCTTTATAAAAAGTTACAGTAACCCCACTCACTATCTGAGCTTAAAGAAAATTCGGATAATTGACTGGCTATTTTCCAATAAAAAATTTATTTGTTTTAAATTTGACTTTTTGAATAACAGCGATGCACGGCTAATGCGCTAATTTTCGTGTTGAAGCCAAAGCACAAGTGCAGAAGAGCGTTCTTGCATTTCTTCTTAAGGATTTTAGTTGTTGTATTTTAATTTAGGCTTTGTTTGGGATAGCTTTCTAAATTAGTTTTTTAAGTAAAAAAGCTCTTAAAGACAGTGAACAAGCAATGGTCTAAACCTGTCCCAAACCAATTAAGCCTTAGGGTTCATTTGAGATAACTTTTTTATTGATTTCTAAAAAAGCTTTTATCATAAAAAATATTTAAATTATAATTTTGTATTAAAAAGTTGTTTTAGAAAGAAATAAAAAAGTTATCCCAAACAAAACCTTAAAAGAAAAACTAAAAAGGTGTTTTCGCTGCTTGTTTGATGCAAATGTAAATCTTAACGACTAACGAGATGAACATTCAAAAATGAAAATTTTATTTTGCAATATACAAATATTAACTTTGGACTAAGTTTGATTGCTCATAATCCCAAATTCTGTTCAGACTTATTTTGGGAGGGATTCTAGTCTTAGTTCTTCATTTTAGAATTTAAACACAATTTTATATATCATTGGCATATTTCTATTTAGTCATAATTAAGAATATGTTTGAGGCAATTTTCTCATTATTTTGACTATCAGATAATAACCATAATTTCTTTTAGCGACTACTTTGTCATTATTTTTCAAATATTTTTAAGATTGAAGCTATTTTATGCAATCGGAGTAGCTAAGCTGCTTTTCCTAATGAAACTTCACAACTAACTTTATAAAACACTGCAACTGTCCCAAATAGATCATAAGTCTACAAATTGCATTAATTATAAGAAAATTATTATTTTAAGAAATAATCTATAATACACATAATAAATTAAAAAATGTTATTATTCCCACAATTATTTTACAGATGATTATTGTAGTCCCAAACAAATCCTGACCATCAATTTGGGAATATATACAACTCTATCAAAATTATTTTAAGCTATCAACTAAGAAGTTTTGAATTTAAAGTTTGCATATGTGATATGTGAATTAATTCGTTCAAATGTCAAAAAAAAAAAAAAAAGATGTGAATATCAATATATAAATTTAAGAATGATAAATTTTAGAATTAGTTAGAACATTGGAATTATTTTGAGATATGTAAAATATAATAGGGGGAGCTTTTATTCTGTATGGACACCGGATAGAAGAACCGTCCGGTTAAACACTGGATATCCAGCGGTACCTAGGGTTACCAAGTGCATGTTCCAAGCTGGGTACTCAGCAATGGAGTGACGTGGCATATTTTTTTTGATCTCCAGACGTCCTCCACACTCCACACAGAATAATAAATCCAATAAATGATGTGACCTAAAAAAAGGGCTTACAATGAAATAAACCTGTCTAGGAACTTTAGACAGGACCTGATGGGCTTTGTTAATAAAAGGGGCCCAATGGGCTTGCTCTGTGAATTGGGCTTAACCCCGAATTATTTTCATTTACAAAGATCGTTTCAGCCAATTTTTTAGTTAGTTATAATTAACTACTAATCTCTTTTGTTAACTCCTCTTTGACATAATTATATTTTGTGCTTTGTTTGTTTGACCAAACCAAAATATTAGAAGCCAAATAGCGATGTTTTATTCTCATAAAAAGTTTTTATCTGTTCTGATAATTAATTTTTTTAAGTTTGGATTAGCACATTAGAGTTTTCTTTAATCAAAAGTTTTTATTAATTAAATAGTTATCAGTGATATAATTAAAATTTTAATTGATAAAAGATTAAAGACTTTGTCCTTAATTTACCTGTATAATTTCAAAATAATAATAATAATATAGTTTTTATATTATATAATTATATAAGATTTTTTTAACCTTAAAAGCCAAATATGATATTTTTTAACTACTTTTATATATATATAAGTTTTAAATAAAGTTACAGCTCATTTAAATTTAAAAAAAAAAAAATCAACAAAAAATAGGATTCTTTTTTACCAAGTCAATTTGCCTCGAGGGTTTCCAGCATGAGATATAAATGCTTAAGATGCTTTAATCCTATTTTTCTTCCATATAGTTCATGTTTTGCCTCAAGATTTTGAGAATTTTCAATAAATTTTTTTATTTAATACAGCTTATTAATTTAAATTTGAATTTGAACCTTCAACAAAGTTAACCAGAGGCAAGATTTAAGAATTTAGAAATGAGATACTACTACATTTATTATACATTATAATTATTGCAAGCGAGAATATTCGCGACGGTAAAGTAATTAAACTTTTCGTCTTAGCGATGCACAATATCCAACACATAAACATGTGACTTAAGAGAAAGAGAGTAGTAAAATATTATATCTTTTTTATGTGAAAACCTAAAGAGGAAAAAATTATAAGGCCTAGCCCAGGTGAAAAGATTCTACTTGTTTTGAGTGAATTACAAAGGTTGATTCGTACCTTGACTTGGGGGCGGTGAAATTATAATAATTTAGAGAGTTGGGAGAAAGCTCGGTAGCGGTTAGGCGGAAGTCCGGCGACATCTGGGTGGAAGTTCGGCGGACAGGTGGCGATCTGACGATAGTCGGGTGGAAGTCCGCCGACGGTCGGCGTCCGGTTTCCGTCCAGTGGTGGCCGACCGGGTAGAAGTTGCAAATTTAATTTTGAAAGTTTTCGACACATATTTGCATCGAGATTCATGCCCAACCAAGACAATTTTTGGTGGTGTATCAAGAATATTCATTGGGTAGGTTGAGTTTTTTTATGTTTACATTAAAGAAAAATTCTACACAGGCAAATAAGTGAAGAATTTCTCATATGCATGTTTTTGTTGATGATTGGCTGGCATTTGCCTTATTGGTGATAATAGTATTCAAGGTTATTTACCATGATGAGCATTAGCCATGGTAATGATGTGATGCATTATTACTAGTGTTAATGGTGATAATCAGCATGTTGCGACGACGGAGATAAAGGTTGTTTATAGTATAGTAAGTATCGTCCTTGTTGAGGATAATAGGCCTCGGCATTACTGTTGATGATGGGAATTAATCGTCTACACTATGGTGGGATGTTAGGGTTATTGAGGAGAGCGAACATCAATTTTTGTTGTAAGTGTCAATATTGGTGTCAACGGGTTGTTCCGACATTATTTGTGATAATCCGTATCAAGGTTTGTTAACGAAGATGCATATTAGTTTGGGCGATGACAAAGGGTCTTGATATTGGTGCTAATGATGAAAGTTGATATTGTTAAAGAAGGAAAGCATCAATATTACTAAGAACAAGCAAAAAGGGTTAATGAAGACATCATTGAGTTTATTGGCAACTGGCATCAATTTTGTTCATGACAGTGATCATTAGCCATTATGAAGATGGTGGGCATTGATGCTTGTGTCAATCAATGGTAGACTTTAACCTCATTAACAATGAAGGTGCTTGGGGTTATTGTTTTTAGTGGGTTTTGGTGGGGAATGAGAGATACCAATGTTCTTTTTGACATCACGTATCGACCTTATTGGCCATATCCAACATCGGGAGTGTTGATGATAACGATGCATCAAAATTGTTGTTGATTGCAGACATCAGACTTGTTGGCAATGATGATTGTCATCACTTATGTCTACTTTGGTTGCAGTGACTACATTGACATTTTTGTTGATGTCGAACATCAACCTTCTAATACTATTTGCATAGCACTTTTTTCATGCTATATACATATCTAACACTTAAAATATTAATATTACATGTCTATCACCCATATAACAAATTTGGATGCATGGAATGAAATATTAAATTTTATATGATGATATAAATGGTATGAATGAATTATATAAGTGATATATTTGATATTAAAGTTTTATATGAGTGGTAGGCATGTAATATTAATATTTTAGGTGTTAGATATATAAATAACTTGAAATAAAGTGGTATGTATGTAAATTTCTCTAATTAGTATGTAATTGATATATCACTTTTACATAATTGAATTTTTTGCTAGCTCAAATTGTTAAGAATTAATCACTATATACATTTTACTTATTACATAATTATGAAAATAAAAAAAATAATGCTAGTGACTATTTAATAACTTACATATCATTTTTAATTTATATAAAATAAATTAAAGAAAAGCTAATTAATCACCATTGGCTTAAGAAACATTATTAGTCAATTTTATATTTTTATAATCATATAATCCTGACCTAATCATTTAAGGCACATTGATTAACAACTTAATTAAGTTAATAATTATTATCAAAATAAGTTGAAATCCTAATTAATGGAAGTCATTTGGAACATTTTTATTTTTAAAGTTTAAAAAAATTGTCTTAAGAAATCTTTTTTGAAGAATTTTTTTTTTAATTTGGGCAATTATATACTAAATTCTTATTTTAAATATTTATGAAACTAATACTATCTTATTTCTACTTTTAGATTATCATTTAAATATTAAATTTCACAATAGAATTTAAACTACTATTTTACATTGTTATTAAAACTTTAATATTTAATTGTGATATAAATAAATATACGAACTCGATAGTTACAAAAGAAATTAAAATTAATTTATAAATAGATAATTTATAGATAATATATATCTGTAATTCTACTTATAATTTTTATAAAATTCTAATTAAACTGATTTGATTACCATTTCTATAATTATATTGTCCTTTTGCAAGAATAAAATAAAAAATAAAAAAGAGCTAAGCCCCAAGATTAAGAGAGATAAGAAGAAAGAAGAGGAGAAGTGGAGAACCGACTAGAGAGAGAGAGAGAGAGACCCCGAGAGTTGCTCAGTTGCCCTTAGGTTTTGGCTATGGCTTAGAAGAATTTCTTCTTTTGCTTCTCATTGTCGGCTTCAACTTGCAAATTCGCTGATAAATTGAGCTTCTCGCAGTTCATCTTGTTTGATTCTAGGGTTTTTGAAGGTTCCACCATTTGATAATATTTCTGCGAGGTAACATCAAAGTTCTGATTTTTATGTGGCATGTTGGAAGCAATCCTTTTGAATTCTTAGTTGTGTTGTCTAAGCTACATTCTAAATCAAAAGCCAAAGGTGGAGTGCTAATTTGGGCTTTATGATTGATTTGTGCCTTCCCAGTTATAGTAGTACCGAAGAAAATTAGGGGTTTCCCCAATTATATAAAGGTGGCTTTTTCTGTATCGGTTGAGCTAGGGTTTCTAGATTTAGATTCATCTATATCTAGCAACACTTAGGCGAACAGGTAACTATGTAGAACACAATACAAAGGGGGAAATTTTAGGTTTTCAGTAGGATTTCCTTATTAGATCCTCATCATTTTCTTAATTGAGTGGGAAGTATGCAAAGATTTAGAGTTTCATCCCATCAATCCCCAGTACACAAGCTTGGAGATAATCAGATGAGGCTATCTCCTAAATTTAGACTGCAAATGACACCACCTCATCCATGTCCATTAGATTCCATTTTAACACTTGAATTAGGGCCTCTAATTCCTGGTCTTCCTGATGATATTGCCCTTACTTGCCTCCTCCGTTTGCCCCTCGACTTCCATTCAACTTGCCGTGCTGTGTGCCGACGGTGGCGACATCTCCTTGCACGGAAGGAGTATTTCTTTACTCAAAGAAGAGCTCTTGGGTTCAGCAGCCCCTTCTTGTTTACCTTTGCTTTCCACCGCTGCAACGGAAGGATCCAATGGCAGGTTATGGACCTCGCTCATTTCTCTTGGCATACAATTCCAGCAATGCCATGCCGAGACCGTGTTTGTCCTCATGGATTTGGTTGTGTTGCAATTCCACAAGAGGCTTCTCTTTTGGTTTGTGGAGGGATTGTTTCAGACATGGACTGCCCTCTCCATTTGGTACTGAAGTTTGAAGTGTGTAGAAATCGGTGGACTGTTATGACGAGAATGCACACGCCACGGTCATTCTTTGCTGGTGGGGTGATTGATGGAATGGTTTATGTTGCTGGGGGGTTTAGTACTGATCAATATGAGCTTGATTCTGCTGAGGTCTTTGATCCGGCTAAAGGGACTTGGCATCCAGTTTCGAGGATGCTGACCAACATGTCTTCCTATGACTCTGCTGTGCTTGGTGGAAAGCTTTATGTCACAGAAGGATGGGTCTGGCCGTTCTTGTCTTCACCGAGGGGGCAAGTTTATGATCCGATGACGGATACCTGGGAGTCTATGACTGCTGGTATGCGAGAAGGGTGGACAGGCTTAAGTGTGATTCTGGATGGGCATCTTTTTGTGATTTCTGAGCATGAAGGGATGAGAGTTAAGGTTTATGATACAGAATCTGATTCATGGGGAACTATTGAGGGTTGTTCTGTGCCAGAAAGAATAAGAAAGCCTTTTTCTGTCAACGCTATTGGTTGGACAATCTATGTTGTCGGCCGAGGTCTTCATGTAGCTATTGGTTTTGTGCAGAGGGAAAGGTCTGTTGTATCTGTTGGCAATCGTATGAAATCAACCTTCTCAATTCGGTGGCGTGAAATAGATGTTCCGCTTACCTTTTGTGACCTGACACCCTCCAGCACACAGGTTCTCTTTGGTTAGCTTTTGCTTTGCTATTTATCTGCTTCTTGTTGCTTTTTGTGAACTGAATCTGATTGACATCAAGCTTTGTACAGTTTCAAGTATTCCAGATTTACTGCTGTCATTTTGTGAAGAAACTGACAAGGATTTTCTAGATAGTTGCACACAACTTATAACTACTTCTTTTATTTAAATTTTATGAAAGTTGTTATTATCTTGTGTGCTTAGCTTAAAGCTACTTTGTGGTTATACAGAAGTTTCATTCGCTACAACTTAGTGAATGCTAGTGTTGAGATTTAATTTTAGCTAAGAGTCTGGATTGAATTGTTGATGCAAAAGTTGTTTCATTTAAGTTTTCATTAACTTAATTGGTTTTGGCTGTCTATGCAGTCTGGTAATCAAATATGGAGAATATATCATTTGCCTGGTTCTTTGATTGGGTTGGATCATTTCATTTTCCTCTTTTTTCCTTTTTTGGGTTTATGCTTACCGCCTCATTGTAGCTGCTCATAAGGGTAAGTGTAAGAATTATTTAAATTCCTTGAGGTAATTTTGTTAGTTCACACTTCAACCCTAGTTTCTTGACTGGATGAGCAAGAGTATGATCTAGAGGACCGGCTGTGGCTCCTTTTCCATGTGAGCGAACAATATCTTGTACCAAAGAAGATGATAGGAAACACTTGTAGATCTCAAGTATTTCCTATCAATCTTCGGAAAACAGCTAGAATCCTTCACAAAAGTCCGCACAAAACCACAAAAACAATAGATAATTTGTATTATTTGATGAAAGGAAAATGGAAAATAGCAAGATACACTTGATCCTCAATTCGAGAGGAGGATCGATCTCTCCCAAATCTCTAGACGTCGCTAGAGCCCAAAGAAAACCTAAAACTAAGAGATCTCAAATTTCAGCCAAATTCAAGATGCCCTAACCCTATGAAAACAAAGTATTTAATGCATACCAATCAAAAGGAAATCCCTAAACAGTCCCTACATTCAAATTTCCCTATCAAAACCCTAAAAAACCTTCCTAAAATGGCTTCTGCACGGCGTGCGGCTCGCGCGGCATCCCAGCAGGCAGAGTTTCTCCGTTGTTTTGCGTTTGGGCCGATCCCACGTGGACCGGCTGGACCGTGTTTACTTGTCCTCAAGGTGGAGATATGCTCGTGTTCCGGTGGAGGTGTCCATCCTTGAGGTGGCAGAAAATCCTTACCAAATTGCTGAAGTAGGTGTTTCCCTGAAAGAGAAAAATCCCCTCCCTCCTCCATCCTGATCACATTCAGCTTGTGTAGTCCCACCCGATAAGCTTCCCCAACCTCTTGTGGGCTCCTAACCATGGTCTTAAGTGATACCATGGCTTTGGATAGCCCTCCATCTCCCCTTATAACCATCTTTCTCCCATCCACCATTAATTCCATCGTGAGTGCTCCCCAATTATCCTTTGTTTCTCCCAAGGTTTGCAACCATTTCATTCCGGGGATGACATCAGTACTTCCTAACTCTAGTGGGAGAAAATCCTCCCTTATCTGAATCCCCTGGATGGTCAACACCACTCCTCTACAGATCCCCTGGCCTTTCTCCACCTTCCCTGTACCCATCATCACCCCATAACAACCGGTGTCCACCAATTTCACTCCCAGTTGATTGATAACTTGAGTGGAAATGAAATTATGGGTAGCCCCACTGTCAATCAAAACAACAACCTCCATGCCTGCTATCTCTCCCTTCACCTTCATCGTATGATTCAAGGTAAACCCTACTACTGAATTCAAGGAAACCTCGGCCATATCCAAATGCAACTTCTCCTCCCTCTCTTCCTCTAACTTCCCATCACCTCCCTCTTCAGTTTCCTCGTCATCACAGACGATGAGAACCTGAAGAGTTCAGTCATTGCACCGATGTCCTAGCGTATACTTCTCCTCTCATCTGAAACACAACCCCTTTGCCCTCCTCTCCTGCATCTACTTCTCTGTCAACCTCTTGAAATTTTTCCCACTCCCTCCTACTAACTTCTCCCTGGTGGTCTCATTAATGTTGCCTGATGCAGGCCCCTTGGGTGCTAGAAGAGTGGTCGTCGTCCTGTAAGAGCCTCCTGAGCTGTTGCTTTTGGCTCTCTTCTCTAGATTCTTCTGATTTTCCACCAGCTGGGCTAACTTCATGGCCTCCCCCAAGTCACGAGGCATCAAAACATTCAATGCTGCTTGGATCTCTGCCTTCAACCCCTTCATGAAGTTCTCCTCAAGTACCGTATCTGATAATTGATCCACCCTACTGGCTAGGTGCTCAAACTGCTCCCGGTAGTCTGCTATTGATCCCTCCTGTGTCAGAGCAAAGAACTGATCATAGAAATCTCCTCCCCGGTCGACTTGAAAACGTTCTATTATGCAGTCTTTGAATTCTCTCCAGTTCTTGATAGGCCGACTCTGATCTCTCCACTGATACCACGACAGGGCTTTTCTTTCCAAACACAATCCGGTTCCGATCAGCTTCTCCTCCTTTGTTAGTTCAGTGACGGCGAAGTATCGCTTCACCTTGTAAATCCACCCATACGCATCTTCTCCTTCGAATATAGGCATCTTCAACTTTCTCACCTTCTAGTCGCCCCCATTGCCCCGGATTCTTCTATAGTTTCCCCTCTCCCAAGTGCTAGGTGCACCCCATGTTTCCCGGTCTTCCCTTGCTCTTCGATAGCCCAAACCCCCCTCGAAATCCTCCATTCTATCTTTAAAATCAGCACCTCGACGACCATAGTATCCCTCCTGGCGTTCCCCATATCTACCCCCTCTTTCTTCCCTCTGGACAGGCTCCAGATTGGGCCTTCTTCTTCCTCCTTCCATTATTTCCACTTTATCTTCCTCCCTAAGAATTTCCGAATTCGTACTTTTTCCGTCCCCTCTAGCCATGGAAGCCGTCGTTTGATTTTGAATTTCTAACATTTTTTTTCATCATGTCTCGGAGATCGGCGACTTGTCCTTCCATGGAGGAAATCCTTTCCTCCACCGTTGTTTTGATTTGATTCATCTCCTCTTCAAGCCTTTCCTCCATAGCATCCACCTTTTTGGCCGCCATCACAATCCGATGTTTGTAAAATCACAAATTCTGGATTTAGAACTTCAAAACAGCAATTTCCCTTCCTTCCGAACAATTAATCACCGCTGAAATTTGCCGAAATCAGCCTTCCACTGGTCCCACGACTTGCTCTGATACCAATTTTATAAGAAACACTTGTAGATCTCAAGTATTTCCTATCAATCTTCGGAAAACAGCGAGAATCCTTCACAAAAGTCAGCACAAAACCACGTTTGATGAAAGGAAAACGGAAAATAGCAAGATACACTTGATCCTCAATTCGAGAAGAGGATCGATCTCTCCCAAATCTTTAGACGCCGCTAGAGTCCAAAGAAAACCTAAAACTAAGAGATCTCAAATTTCAGCCAAATTCAAGATGCCCTAATCCTAGGAAAACAAAGTATTTAATGTATACCAATCAAAAGGAAATCCCTAAACAGTCCCTACATTCAAATTTCCCTCTCAAAATCTAAAAAAAACTTCCTAAAATGGCTCCCACACGGCATGCGGCTCGCGCGGCATCCCAGCAGGTGGAGTTTCTCTGCTGTTTTGCCTCTGGGTCGGTCCCGCGTGGACCGGTCTAACAGAAGACTAGAGGGATATTGGTGGCTGAGAACTTCTCTTTTAAGGGATTTAGAGATGTAACTCTTCCCGGAGATTTGGTAAGAAGAAATTTCTCTTTTTTTTTATCTTTTGAGAAATATTTCCTTAAGATTTTGCTTGGTGGTCTGAACTCTTCTCATTAGTTTTGATTTAAGAAGATTTAGACTTCATTTTGGATGACTTTCTTACTGCTTTAAGAATTAGTAAGAAAGCCATCCGAAGCCTTAGTGTTCAGGTCTTTTTCTTAGTTCTTCTTGATGTATTTTGATAGCGGATTGTTTGTACCTCCTCAGCCTTTGGATTTAGGTCTTGTTTGGTTGAATCATGTAAATTCTAGCTTATTTTTTATATGATTGTTTTGTTGTTTTATCGTATTCGTGTGAGGTAATACCGTAATATTTTTATTTTCCTAGATTGATCCTATTGTTCTCTTTGGTGCTCTCTAAAATATTTAATTTGGCTTTTTTTTTTCAACAAGTTGGTCACAAAGTTTAACTAAATGTAGGATATAGTCCCATCTAATGGATTAAAGTTTTATGCTAAGAAATATGGCTCCTCTCCGTCAGCATCAATAATAAAGTAGTATTGTTACGTGCTATAAACTTTGCAACGGTAGAGCATTTAATATCTTAGCTGTATGTAAATATTTAGCACTTGCAGATAGAAGTATGTAACATACATTAGAATTTTTATTTGAAAAATCCAGAAAAAGAAACATCATGGGTTATGTCTCCATTGAATGAATCCACTATATAATGAAAGATATAAGAATCTTTACTTTCTCACAATCAAAAAGATGAGATCATACACTTGAGAACAACTGCTTGATTTCCATTATAGGGATTATAGAAATCGGGTGTTCACAAGCGGAGAGTTAAAACCCAACAACAATCAAATGACAGAAGTCTAGGGATGGCGATAGGGATTGATGATAGTGTTTGTCGATAATGATTGCCAGAATATGCAATATAGTTTTTTAGCTCTGTAGCTCTCGAACTTCCCTGCACATAGAAAATGGAGCCTTATGTATAATCTTTATTGAGAGGGACATCTTGGTAAATTTAGCGAGAATCCAAAACTATCTATCAAATGATCTATATAGATCCTCTTGATCATAGATTATTTATTCATCATTTGATCATAGATTATTTATTCATCATTTGAATTATTTAATGATCTTAGGCTCATTAGATTCTTCTTGTCAAGCTGCTCGCTTTGACTATAAGCACGTAAAATTTGGAGAGCATTTGGTTCTTTAATTAATGTTAAAAAATTTCAAATATGCTTCAAATGTTTGATTCATTTCATTTGGATTCAGATTAGATCATTTGTAGTGTCGATGGGCTTGTCTCATCGAGATGTTCCAATCGATTATAAGTTTATTGAAATCAGAGTTTGGATGGTCTTGAATTTATTTCTAGAAGTTTTTAATTCAAATATTGCCTCGATGTTCATGTTGATCATGTGAATTTTCTGGAGACGTGTGAAGTAAAAAAATTGGGTTTGATCTAATTTTAACAACGATGTTTCTTTTATTAAAGAGTGAATCATTAATTCTAAATGTTCTTCTTATATGACTTGACATGGGGATTGATTTTCTTCTTAGTTTGTCAAAAGTGAGTGAAAGTGTCCTCATATGAAATGACATAACTTGTAAGAT